ATTTTACAAAAGTGTTGTAGATATGCTGTAGAAGATAGTTGACGGGTAACTGTGAGAAATGTAAACGTAACGTAATTAACTGTGTTGTTTTAATTTAAATTAAAATTAAATAAAATTAAATATAAATATAATAATAAAATTAAATAAAAATTTTAATTAAATGTAACTGTGAACGTAATTAAAGTGAGTCGCTAAACTCAGAAAGGACAATGGTGCACGCTCGGAGAAGGGATACGAGCGACCGCAGGTATAAGTACAGGACTGAGAGAGGCCTACTACCTGCTTCGGTCCCTTTGTCCGTCGTCGGCGAAGAGCCCTGATGATTGACGTTCGCGCGCTTCTGCCGCGGCGTGGGCAAGCTACCTCCGCGCGATGTTCGGGAAGCACAAGTAAGCTTTTCACTGAAAACCGTTCCCAGGCGTGAGGTAGTTACTGCGGGGGCGCTGGTGGGGCGCTATGCTGACAAGTGATTTCGGGCGCGTTCAATGCTACAGTCAGTACGTGTTGTGATGTTATATCCTGAAGGATAGCGGTGTTCCTTCCCAGATGGAAATAAAGATCCGGCGCCGAACTACATGTCAACGTGCGGGGTATGCCTCATCAGGGTATCTCCCACAGCGGGAAACCGTCCTAAGCTGTATAAGCTCTAAGCACTCGGTTGGTCTCCCCACGTGTATTAGTGCAGTGTGTGTGTGTGTGTGTGTGTGTGTGTGTGTAAGGACAGGCATGTGTTGAAGAAGGAAAGATTGCCCGCAGTCCGTGGCTGATTTGATAGTGCACTGCTCTGACATTCTCAAAGTATTGCTCGAAGAAACCACAGAAAGCTCAGAGCAGCTGGACTTTAGAATTGTGCTCTAGATAGTGGATAATTCGAACTAGCTATTTAGCCAGTCCTGAAAATTCCGCAACCGTCCGAACTCGACCCCCAGGATCTCCCAGGGAGCGACGCCGTCAACAGTTGTTATCCTTAGCTACCTCATCGATCAACACCAGGCGAATGTCGGAACAGTACCGTACGAAACGGGCCACGGATCGTGCGCGATGTTTCCTTCCTCTTCCTTGTCCTATCCTTATCTTTACTTACACACACGCACGCACACTCACATGCACTAAACTACCATACTAGTCGGACTTTGAGCCTGAGTCGGCTGGAGCAGTGTCACGCTTGTAGGAGATAACTGCTTGGGGAAGACCCCCGTAAGCCGACGTAGATCGGCGGTGGATTCGCCATGGGAAGATCGCCGCCACCTCCCGCGAAAAAAAAGACTGCACTAAGGAAAAAATGACCTCAGTAGTTGACGCGGCCGAAATTCTTAATCAATCAAAAACAAGGCTGGATATGAGGTTGCAAGCCTTTAAATATTTCTTATTCTCGTGTCGCATTCTGGAATATTATCTTTGTTGATATTCTACGTTTGTAAATATCTGTTGCATAGTTTACATATTGACATGTTCTATTGTATACACCGTTGATGATGCAAATTATTAATTGACGTTCGTTTTCATTATTCTACAAATCAAAGAAATAATATAGTTAATAACATAGTTAATGTTTATGTATTTGGAAGCATAATAATAAATTTTAATGATTTAAAAATTATAACAGATTAATTATATTAATTACTTTATACACCGTTTAAATATTTAATATAATACAGATATACTTTTTTCTAATACTGTCAATTTGCAAGTGGGTAGTTCATAATGTGTACTTACACTTGAGGATGTGGAAGAGTTTTGTCACGAAAATTCAAGAAGAGAGAAAGAGGTCACAATTGACTATTCTTGTGTGTGTGTGAGTGTGTGTGTGTGTATGTATGTGTTGCAGACCCCGCAGTTGCTTCTTCTAGTCACTTTCCATTATCGAATCCTCATTTACGTGAAGTCACAAGTAGATGGATTGTGACGTATGCGACGAAAAACCTCCCTCATTCAGCTTTACGAATGCCGATTTGCAACCACATGAGTAACGAATGCTGTTTTTTAAAACGCAAATTAAACTAACCACTACGCAATGTAGGGTATGTTTGTTACACTCGAGTGAATTGTATTTAATTATTTTTTATGGCAAGATATTTTTTTCACTAATTTTGCATTTTATAATTGGTAAGAATTTAATATTTTACAGCTTTATGAGTCCATTTGAGGTTTCGCATTTCAGTTCATCAAATTTACGATGGACTGGTGTTAAGGTAACCAAATATTTGTATTTTAAATGAATTGAACACAAAATTAAGTTGCGTGACGCAATTACAATTCTTTCAAGGTGTCTATCAGTTCAGTCAGGCTTATAATTCTTGAGTACATTTTCGGAATGTACTACCTGAGATATGAGATAATAGTCTGGAGAAACTAGCTTAGAGAATGCATTACGCCGTCTCTGCAACGACTCCAATCAGGAGGTACTAGGTTTCGAGTCCCGGTAGTGGCGGGTTTTCGTTGATAGCAGAGAACCAGATCGAATTCGTTCGAAGACTGGAGAAAAATTCTAGCGGCCGGCTCTGATCGGTAGTTTTTCGTGCTTTCTCCAATCAAGAGTGTTTTGTACTGAAACGTTTTCAGGAGCCGACACATGTTTCCATGCAATGTAGGTATCTATGCCACACAACGAAGGACTCATATTCATTAATGTTAATCAAAAGCTCTCGACACAAAAGACACATCTAATACGTGACCATCATTTTACAACTCATTACCAAATTACATTACAACATCAAAATCGGTACACAAGTTCCAGTTTCAGGTAAAATCTTTTTCTGTAGCATAATTGTCTATGTTAGCGACATCATTACATATTAAACACGAAAATAATATTTTCTTTACTATAGTGTTAATCCCTCAGTGACCTTTTGTATACTACAATTTATTTATTTATTTATTTATTTATTTATTTATTTATTTATTTATTTATTTATTTATTTATTATTTATTTATTTATTTATTTAATTTTAATTAAATTTATTAAACAATTAAAAACTGTGTGTGACATGCTATGGGGGGAAATTAATTTGAAGTTATATTTACGTCCCGAAGCAAAACAAGGGGCATCTCAGCATTTGTTCAAGAATCAGGGAAACTGGACGAATACATGATCAAGATGGGGGCCATTGACCTAGACGCTGAAGTACAATACTTACCACAGGATCTTTAAAGTTATACAATCCAAATGGTAAATAATACCTAAATGCCGTTGTTGAAATTAATATTAGTTTCCTTTTGGATGTTCGGTACAGTCTCTAATTGTATAGAAACAGTTGTGCGGCAGAAAATATTTTACTTGTGACTTGTGGTTTAATGGCATCTGGCAAGGTGTTGTAAAATAATGTATTGTACGTGAATTTTTTGTAGTAGCTGATGAATATGATTACTACGTCCAGTATTGTCATTATAGGTATCGCCGTTTGCTGAAAATATATTCTCGACCTTAAGTAAGTCATTTTTGACAAAAATCATTGATTCATATATCATGAGAGAAGGTAATCGTAAAATACCTAGATTGATAAAGAGAGGCTTACAAGAAACACGCGGGGGAATTTGCTTATTATTCGTACAATTCTTTTTTTCGTAATCTAAAAGTCTGGGAGCTATAAGATGTATTTCCCCCGAATAGCATGCCAAATCTCAGGCGGCAATGAACATTCGCTAAATATACACAACAAGCAGTATGAAGGTTGACTGAATTTGAAAGAATTCTGAAAACGTAACATAAAGAAATTCATTTAGTATTCATTTCATTAAAATGGACGTTCCATTTAAGGTTTGACTGAATTAAAAGACCTTAAAATTTTGTTACCTTAACGTTAGTCAATGACATACCGTTCATTTTCAATGGAGTACCGAGCTGTTTACTTGAAATGGAAACTTGCATTGAAACAGTTTTCTTTTCATTTACTATTAATTTGTTATTATGGAACTATTTTGAAATATCTGATATTGTACTATTAACGGTTTCCTTATTGCTAAGAATATTCGTGTCATCCGCAAAGAGAACTGCTCTTCGGGTCCTAATTGTCGAGAGCATATTGTTTACGTATAGTAGGAAGAGAATAGGGCCTAAAATCAATTGTTGCTATTGATGAATTATTTTTGAAAGTAAATTACTTCATAGCTTTGTCTATTGAAACAATTTAGTAAGTGTGAAAATCCACTTATATATCTTAAGTAATTTTCCCTAATAAAATAATACTATATTTTGAATAGTTTGGTATTTCTAAATATTTAATTTGTTCAATTATCTCCGTGTTCTAATGGTTCAATAGTCACTTAATGGTTCAGTTGTATTTAAAGACGCATATGTCATAAGGCTCATTGTTTCACGATTTTTCCAAACTCCTGGAAATCATAAACCCGAATATTTAGATTTTTCTATTCACCACATTCTAAAACATTATGAAGTCAAGTGTTTGTAAAAGTAGCTAGCTTTTGCAATAAAGAAAGTTGTATTTAATATTATTTTTGAATTCACATTATAAACATTTGAATATATATATTTCATAAGAACATATAAAACTTTGAAATATTCCTATTGAAGACGAGCATTTTAATACATATAACAGTATGCGAAGAATTGTGTATTGTGCGCTAATAAATAAATTACTAATATTTGATATATATTATAAATATTGAAATTAATATTTAACGCACAAAAATACTATTTTACTGATTTGCGAAGTGGCAAAAAAATCTAGTTTGAAATTTGGATAGTGTTAAGTAACAGTGGTATTACGAATGTAAGACAGTAATATTCAGAAGAGAAAAAAATATCACTGACAATTTAAAGTAAAGAGAAGGAATGGGAAGCAAAGAACTGAGAGGCAAAATATGAAAGAAGATGGAGAGGTCACCTGAGAGAGACGGAGCGGAGCGCTGGCACGCATGCGTGCTCTGCTTCGCGACTTCGGCTCCTCTCGGCTGCCGTCGGTTTTGACAGACCTCTTCGTACTACGGCGCGAGAAGGGATCCAGTGCTGGCGGGTCCGTGGAAACGGATGGTTGTGCATGAGTGTTCTTGGCTGTTGTGTGCGGGTGTGGATGGTGATCGTGAGTTAAACTTGCGTTGACTGTTATTTATCGCAAAGTGGACTGGACAAGAAAATATATTTAATTATTTGTAACAAATATCAGCCGCAAAAATGGCTGCGGGATCGACAGAAACTTTTGCTTCGACATCGCAAGGTTTGGGTTGTTTTAATTCGAACTTGTTGAAAACAGCCCAGGACAAATTTTGGACAGCCGAAGTCATGGCAACAGCATCCACTGGAGGTTTTTGGGAAGATGATCCTGAAATGGAAATTAAGAAGAAGATAAATGAATTGAAACACAAATTTCATGTTGGCCGGCAACTGCAAATAAAGCACTTACCACGTGATGTCACCGAAGAGGTAAGATAGTTCAAAAAACATGTTAAAACAAATAATCTCTTCTGTCAGACATTCTAGTCGTCTGAATTTTTTGTTTCAATTGCTGAAAATTATGCGGACGTAATTTCTCTAATTGAAAAGGCGCTATTTTTCCTTTCCAGTGTTGCAAACGTTTTCTCTATTTATTTTGTTAATGCCTGCATTATTTTTCAACGATCTTTTATTTTGCTTATGTATTGGGTCACTCATCACATCGAATTTTTTGTTTACTTTTTATTTATTTTGGCGTTGAAATTATTTTTTAATAGGATTGACTGATCAGTTACAAAGTTTACCCGAATGCGTTGTGAATTATTAGCTTGACGTTAACGTAGTTACTTTTTGTCGCTTTCTGTTGCTTCAAGCGGACAATCGAGATGACGAAGTCTTACGTCTATGGACCAGAGCAATTCTAGACAAGTCTGAAATGTTATTGGACTGGAATGCTCTCGGAAAGAGACTTCGCTCGCTCCGTTACCTACTCTATTTTCTCTTCGTATATTGAAGTTTTCCACGGGCAACATTATAGAGTAATGAATTATTACAATAGCAACAAGAATTTCCAGTTATTGATAATATTGCTTTTGCGTTGCTGTTATGAAGTGTGCGTCTAGTTGGGTTGGTTATGTATGTGGATGTAGTTTACATTAGCTGACGCTTGATAGCAACGGCTGAATGTTTGCTTTCAAATATTGGGAACTTCGAGAAGCTGCCGGTAGGGTTCTCTGTATTCGTAGTGGGAGTGATTCCAGCATACGCAAGCATTTTATGTTCTTGAAAGATGTAGTTAGCCTGACGCAAATTTTTACATTTCTTGGAAAGAGGCAACCTGGAGTGGAAACTTGGCAACACTGGTTTCTTTCCCTCTAAATGGATGGCTGTCACCCCCCCAGACGTCCCTCGCGTTTCCCCTTAGGTTAGTTTTGTTCCACCCGTGCCCAGGTAAAGGCAGGGGCTGTTTCCCTCGCAGGTGGTTGAAGCGGGAGGGGGCGCCGGCGGCGGCCCGTCCGTTCGCGTTTGCCAAGCATCTGCTGCCTCGGTCAACTCTCTTTGATCATTTGTCTGTGAGGATGCATGTGAAACCACGTATCCAAATATACTTGCTGCTTACGAAGACCAAAGCTTCTATTTATGGACAACTCTCTTGCATATTTCGTTTGCACTAGAAAAATGGATCATCCATTTCTCGCGTACACAAACTCCATGCCTTATTATCAAAGGTGCGTAGGTTTCGTGCTTATAACGGTTATTCCGGACAAAGTGCTTTGTGAAGGCATGATTTTGCTAGCTTCTTTGTTCGTTGCTTTGCTGTTTAGCGATTCGCTGCGGTATATTTGAATCTCCTTTCGATCGGTTTCTTCGTACACTTCAGTGTGTGCAATCATGCGTTTAATGCGCATGGCATGAACGAGAGGAGGCTGCTTAGATTTGAGTCTAATTTTCGTCAAATAACGACGAAAAATGATTTACTTGTGGATGGCATGTACATTTACTTTTTCATCGGGACTAATCTTTTGTGGTCAAACAGCAACAAACCTATTAAATCAAGCTTTTAGATATATATTCACGCGACCTTTCAAATGCATTTGCAATGAGTAACATTGCCGACTTAACTCTGTATATTATTTCATACGTTAGTCCATAACTAAAAGATAGAGTAGCAGCCGGAGCCACCTGGAATGTTTTCATTCTGAGATTGAGTAGCATGACATCGGAAATGCAGTTGAAACCAAGTTAATACAATGAACGAATTGTTGAAATATTGAAGGGAAATTTATGGGAGGTCTATTTATTGATTTTTTTTTCTGAAGTAAGGAATTTTTAAACTTGTGACTCAAAACTTATAACTCAAAACTTGTATTGCATCTGACGTGGACGGGATACCTTCTGTCACGTCATAAGTCTGTTGTCTTGCCTTCCCTCTTTCTATTTTTTTGTTCGTAGGGGCAGGGGAACTGAAGATTTTATAATCGGTCGTGGGCTGGGTAAAAATATCTCTGCTCTGCATTGACAAGGGATTGAGTTCCCTGGTTTCCCCATCAGCACTTCAAACAGAACGCGCAAGAAACGGGTGGGTGGCAGGCCGTTGCCTCACGATTCACGCGTTACGCGTCTTCAAGTGCGGCGCGTCGCGCCAACGGCCGCCGCCGCCTCCGCCTCCGCCTCCGCCGTCGCCGCCTGTCAGACATGTTGCGACCGGCCGCGGCCCACGCGTGCCCGGCGCAGGCCCGTGCACTGGAGGAGTTCGTTCGGGCGCCTGTGACGACGGTCGCTTGAGACGTTGTCGAGAGCAAACAGAGAAGCGACAACTTATTTTTTCATGGCGCGTCGGCTTGCATCACGTTTTATTTCCGTCCTAGTCGTCGGGCCAGGAACGCGATTGAATTAAAAAATGGCCTCCGCCTTGAGAGATGTATGGTATTGAAAGGTTTTACTTACAGGTGTGTCAATTTTACATACTCGCGCGGTTTGTTCTTTTACTTTGGCTGAATCGTTGCATGCATAAAATATTTCACATATGTTCGTTCCATATTGGTTTTTAATGACATTTTTTGAGTTGATTGTTGACACGCCTTTCTTCCCAAACATTTGTTTAAGTTATAGTGGGATATCAGATTCTAATCTAGTGTTAATAAAAAATTAATGCTCTCGTCAATATTGAAACAATTTCACCCTAAATTTTGTTTCGTTACTCTGGATCAAAGAATGAAAATATACATATCTTTCGCACGCGCTCAGAATAATCAGGTGATTTATTGACAACTGTATATTTCGGTGTGTGCATGGTCCTCTATTTCTTTACATATTTTCTGAGTGTTGGAGATTGCGACTACTTTTCCCATTAGTAAAGCATCTCTCCATCGTGGCAGCGGCGGGTTTGTCGCCGGCTTTGCGCGTGGGGGTGGATGGGGATTTGTGTTCTGCCGCCCCTCCCACGCACCGCGCTTCCACACGCAGGCTGTTCGGCGCGGGCTTCCTCCAACACGCGGCGTTTAATTCCGCATCAGATTGGCCCCCGGCGCGGGTGAAGATTGAATCGGATAAAGCTGTTCCGTGTTCAAAGTTTCCGGTTTTTTCGCAAGTGATTAACAACGTTGCCGGCAATCCTCGCCTTTTTTCTACAGTCTTTTTTCAGTAGATGCATCGGCAATATATTGGATTTGACTTTTTGCCTTGGGTTAGATCTAAAAATCCTTTATAGGAATATAATTATCAATAATTTGATATAATTATAGGGGTTGTCTGTTTTAAATGTTTGCATTAAAGTTAGGTTTAGTTTTACGATCATTCGTCTGTGATTAGAAAAAACAGGGTTCTTTTTTCGACCTACTCTTTTATTGTTTGTAAATTTCGAACATTGCATTTTCAGGATGTAGATTATCATACTTTTCTCTTTTTGCTTGGGCAACAGGTAGAGAACTAATATCAAACGGCAAAAATGTTTACCGAGAAACGAGAGTTTTAAAGTGTCTAACAGTTGATTCAGAGTGGATTAATAACAAAATTAACTGTTCTATAAATAATGTGGGCGATAAATTGTTCGGGAATTTTTTCTCGTATAAATAATAATTACGGCTAGTTGCAAATTTGGGCATTAGCATACAAACAATATATCATTGGAGGTTTGTTGCGGCTAAAGCATATTATTGGAAAGTAAAATTATTTTACGCGAATAATGTTAAATATATTAATATTAATCTGATTTAACTGCACATTATTTATTCACACATATATTGTATTCTCAATTCTAGCCACAATTTTTTTGGCAAAATTGTTTCCAAAACCGGAAATAAATAATGCCGAAATAACGATGGTTTTTGCGAGTTTCCATGTTCACAAGCTTCCATATTCACATTTCGATATTATCAGTGTAAAGTCCCCTTTGTCCACAGAGATATTGTAACTTGTTTCATTCCATGCTTTTTAATCTCCAGAGAAGTGCAGAGTGTTTATTGCAGTATTATGGCAGCAAGAAGGTGTTGATGATGAAATATTTGCATTGTATGCACGAGAATTCCTCTGCGATATTCCTGTCAATATACAAATTTGATCGGAATAAAAGGGAGAGTGGGGGAAGTGTGTGTGGACGGTGCAGGCGTTGGGCCCTGGCTGGGGCGGCCACAGCGAGCGTGGTGCCTGTCGCAGCTTCCCGGGACCCCAGCTCGGCCGGCTCCCGCGACGCCGCCTGCAGACGCATTAAGGAGGGGGGTTGTGAGATAAGCTCCCACGGACACACCCAGAGGGGTTTTTAAAAATAACCCGTCAGTCACTCGCCTGCCCCCCCTCCCCCCCGCTGGCCGGCGATATTTTTCGGGGCGCGCGGCGGCTGCGGGCCCCTGCCGCGGCGCGGCGTCTGGCCAGAGGCGGCGCCCGCCGCGTTTTGAAATAAGACAGCGCGGGCAGCGCAGGCGGCGCGGGGCGACTTGACGGATTCACACACGCCGCACGGAAATCGCTCCACCTCCCTCGAGATTTATACGCTGCCAATCGCTCTTCACGACGTGTTGCTGGCGCCCGCCTGCAACGCTGCCCCAAAATGTGTGGTTTTCGTTACAAACATTCTTTGAATGCGATTCGCAGTCCTCAGGGGCGGCAATGCAATAACGGGTAATCTGGTTGTTTATACTTTTGTAGATACAAATGGAAAGTAATGTATACATTTTAGTAATTGCCATAAATACATATAGTTGAGACATTGAATGATTTAAAATGCCACTCCTCACTGAATATTTCCACCCTTGTGAGGTCCTACCCTGACTCGCCATTGGAACAGTGTTTTAGACGTCTTTTGTAATTATGCAGGGAACATCTTTTGATATGACAAATTTTTGCTGAAAACTTGTGGACCCTTTCAAAACAGTCATGGACGTGTAAAATAAAATTCATTGGTACCGCCTATGGTTTTGTCTTCGGAAGATCATTGGTCAAAAGCATTTACGGGGGCAGAATTTTAACTTCGTTGTAAAACCTGCATTTTATTA